TTTATTTTCATTTCTGACTGTTGATTTGTGCGTTTGCTTTAAATGGTGTTTCCAGAAGCATTTGAATAAATCTGTGTTGATCGGTCTTGACGTGTCTCCCAGCTGCTGACAGTGCACGGCAGAACCAAAGACCAGAAAGGCGCCATGACAGGTATCGCTAGCTGGGAGCACATAAAGGCTGTGCGGTGAGCTGCTCATCTTCTGTATCTGATGTGGGACGTATTCCCGTTTCCAGTGTTTCCTTACTGATAATTAAATGCAGTAGCTTTGATATTAAAGCAAAATCAGATGAACCATGAAGCTGATGAGCCAAATAACATTAATGTATATTGACTTCTGTGATTTGTTACAGGCTGGCGGTAAATATTCCAGTATTTGCTAACGGCAACATCCAGCACCTCAGTGATGTGGAGCGCTGCATTCAGGAAACAGGCGTGCAGGGAGTGATGAGTGCAGGTCAGGAGTTTGTTTTATTTATTACTTTTCTTCCCTGATGTGATGATGACAACCATAGCAACCACAATTTCTGTGTTGTATTGTTCTTAGAGGGGAACCTCCATAACCCAGCGCTGTTTGATGGCCGCAGCCCCCCGGTGTGGGAAATGGCTGAGGAGTATCTAGAAGTGGTGAAGCGGTATCCTCCATGTACTCTGTCCTATGTTCGAGCCCACCTCTTCAAGCTGTGGCATCACACGTATGTCTCTCTTTGCCTCCTGCACTTGGAGATTCTGTGTTTCCCAGAAATGCTACTGGTCCAAGAGTCAAATATGGCTTCTTTTTAATTTATAAGCTCAAAAAAATACTTGCTGATGAGTTTATTGCCTCAGTCATTAGTTTAAATTACTGAATAGAACATGATTTTAATTTTACACAGTGTGGAGTAATAAAAAACGATAAAGCCTGGTTTAGGAGCTCCGCCCCTCGTCTATTATGTGTGTTTTAAAACATCAGGACTTCAGAAACCAATAAGTGACATCACAGTGTTCATCTTTTCCTATACAAGCTGTGGTGGATCAAACTTTCTCTGTGATGAACTACAACACATTTCAGGTGCCAGCATAGATGAACATCTGTCCTCTAAATGATAGCGCGTCATGTCTACCCAGTTACTGAGTTTAAACATAACTGCACCAGATCATATTTCATGTTCGCTGTTCATTGAGTGGTACTTTGTGTGATCTAGTACAGGGTAGGAAACATAAACAATGTTTCTTCCTGCTATAGCTCAGCAGTACTGCTTTAAAGCGTGACCTTTCCTGCATGCTGCATGCATGTGTCTGTTCAGGCTGCAGATCCACCAGGACCTGAGGGAGGAGTTGGCCAAGGTGAAGACTCTGGAGGGTTTGGCTGACGTTAGCAAACAGCTGAGGCTTCGCTGTCAGGTACAAACAGGAAACATCCTTTCAAATATGCACAACTGAGGAGGTAGCTAAAGAGCTCAGCATTACCATAGCGACAGAGGTGAAACAAGAAGCAGACGGACATTATTAAAGTGATCATTGCATGTTTTTATATAGTTCTGTGCTGTGTAGTGGGTAGACTGCAGTCATGTCTGTGTGCTGCAGACATTTCAGCAACAGTTCCCAAAGAATCTGTGGAATGATGTGATAATGAGGTTTGTTCAGTAGCAAGTAGACTTTGTGTTGCATTAGAAACTCGCCATGACCCATTTCCTCTATAGTTTTCACATGTGGTCAAGATGTCATCACAGCCTTAACACCCACAAGGTGCAAGAGAGTTAGATTTTTATAGGCAGACACTAATATTTCAGTCAAATGCTGATGTTAACCTGATGTTGTCTGTTGATTCATTTTGGCCAATAAGCTTTAAGGAAAGCGGCACTGACACCATGTTTAACTGCTTAGAGCAGGGGTGTCCAACTCCAGGCCCGAGGGCCGGTGTCCTGCAGGTTTACATGTGTCCTTGATCCAACACAGCTGATTTAAATGGCTAAATGACCTCCTGTTTGATATAACGATATATATCGGATGGCGATATAAAAACGTCTATCGTTTGTTTCGTGGTGTCGCAAAATAAACTGTTTACGGCAATATTTTTTTCATCGTTTTGATGGTCACTGTAGTGGCTATATGAATTTCTTAACGTTCTCTCCTTCTCTTATAATTAAAATAACCACACTACGGATGGACAAGCGACTTTTTATGCGTTGTCGTTAGTAACAACGACGGTAAACCCAGCTCCGTCATTTGCTTTTTTATTTTCCACATAAACCTTTCACAATAAAGCTTAAGATCCTGTTGAGATTTTTCAAAATAAACTGAAATGATGACAAACAGAAGGACCAGTAAAAAAAAAAAAAAAAAAAAAAGATCAAGGACCTTATTCCTAAATGAGGGGCTACCTCTGTAGCATGGACATGGTTTGGTTATGAAAGTCTGACACGGACCAGAAAACTGTACAATGCAAATTTTGCTTCAAACTGGTTTCCACCACAGACTCAAACATGACAAACCTCTTCTACCACCTATGCAAGAATCCTGTAAAAGAGTATGGAGAGAGTTTACGGATGAGAAGCAAAAAAGAGCCGTCAGGTGCTCAAAATAACCCGTAAACTCAAACATTAGAACAGACTTTTCCCCGCAGCACGCCGTGTAATAAATACTCAGAAAGAAAATGGCGGATGTTACAACTTATGTCTAAAAATGTATCGTTTCATGCATCGGTCAAAACAGTCGACTCCAGGTACACGACGCCCAGCTGGAAACACTTCACGCAAGTTGAGCTGCCCGAGATTCACAGAATTTACAAAAAATGAAAAATGTTTGTGGTTTATATCGTTGTCGGGACGATAAATGTCTTTTATCGGGATATGAGATTTTGGTCATGTCACACGGTCCTACTTTGTAAAGAACTAATTATTTGGTTCAGGTGTGTTGACCCAGGGTGAGATCTAAAACCTGCAGGACACCGGCCCTTGAGGCCTGGAGTTCCCCACCCCTGGTTTAGAGCGTCAGCTTGTTCAGTTGCTGCTTGTTCAGGGTCACATGACCTTTGATTTGTATGTCATAGTGTAGAAAGTGTTTACTGTCCTTTCCACAAGTTGGGAAGTTTTTGTAATTCTAAAAAAAGAAGAAAAAAAAAAAAGCCCAGTTGGGCACACACACCCTTTGTACCTCTTTGTTCTGCCTGATCAGCTCATTGTTACTGTTTATATAATGTATTAACTTAATTAATTGTGCATTTTTGCATAAAACTCCACATCAGGGTACTGGATGTTTGTGTCAAGTGTCAGAAGATTCATTAGCATAGGCTTTTTACATTTTTGCTATATTTCAGTTTGAAATGCAGCAAATGGGTTTGTGTGATGTTATGGCACCCTCCCAAAAGGTTGATTCTGTTCATCTGGATGTAACTTTTGGGATTTATTTATCTTGATGATTGAGCACGCATCAAGAAATTAGAGAATTGGCTTCTATTCATAATTTTAAAAATCACCTAAAAGCCTATTTAGGCCGTTTTTAATTTATTTGTAAATATTGTAAGAGGGTAATGTCACTTGTAATGGAAATTGTGTATTTTGTTTGAGTGTTTTTTTTATATTTTTTAATATTTACATGCTTATATTTTCAGAATTTTAAAGCTTTATTGTGGAAGTAAGAGCCAAATTATGTGGATATTTTGCATCCAACTCATTGTGTAACATTTTATTCGATGGTATTTGATGGTTTGGGCCCCAGGAAGACTAGCAACCACTGTTGTGGAAGCTAATGGGGTTCCTTATAAATAAACAAATATAAATAAACAAATATAAATAAACAAACATTGCAGCACTGAAAGATTCCTGACTGTGGCTTTGTGTCTATTCAGGAGGAGATAGCCAAAGGAAAAGATTCAGAAGATAAAGAAAGCGGACTTCCTTTCCCCCACTGGATCTGCCAGCCATATGTCAGACCAGTGTAAGTCACAACACATCTCTACTTACTTCAGTAAAAAGAAAGTAATGCACATCTTCTGATGCATGGACACACTTCTCAAAAGATTTCTCACTGTCGGATGATCACGTTACAGGCCAAAAGAGACGGTTACCAACGGTAACAGCCAGGCATCAGTGTTGAAAAAGACAGTTTGTCAGAAGAGGGCACTGGAGGACTGCGAGTCAGCTGACACACTCTCTAAAAACAAGCAGAAGAAGAGATCCCGCAACCCCAAAAAGAACTTCTGCCCCGAACAGAAACGTAAGTTTGTGCTGTCGACTTAACCTGCTGGTCAAAAGTCTTAGAACACCCCAATTTCTCCAGTTTTTCTAATTGAAAATGATGCATTTTAATGTCTCATTGCACTCTGAAATGAAAGCATTGTACAAATACGGAATTGGAGTTTAAAAAAAAGTATCTACTTTTGACAGATATAACAGCTGAACACACCCGTGGGAGTCTTTCTACAATAGAAATCAAATATTCTTCAGAAAGTTCTTCCCAATCTGTTGCAGAAGGTCCCATAAATGTGGCACTCGTAGGTGGCTTTGCTTTCACTCTTCTGTCCAGTTCGTCCCAAACCAGCTCGATGGAGACTCGATGGTCATTATCTTGCTGTAGGATGAACCCCGACTATTTTCTAGGCACAAACCAGAGAGTATTGCATGGCACTGCAGAATGCTGTGGCAGCCGTTTTAGTTCATCACTCTGTACAAGTCGCCGACCCTGGATCCAGTAAAAAAAGCCCCAGACCATCACTCTTCCTCCTCCATCTTTGACAGTTGATGCCACACACTGAGGAACTTTCGCCTACTTGATGGCGTACAAAGATCCTACATGTTGAAGATTTCAAATTCAAGACTTCCAGTCTTCCACTGGTGGGGTTTCTTGGCCCAGGCAACCCTCTTTGTCTTATTCTGACGTCTTAGCGATTGCTTTCTTGCTGCAACTCGTCCTGTCATACCTGCAGCTCGAAGTCTTCACAGTTGAAACTGAGACTTGCTTTCTATACCACTATTAAGCTGAGCTTGAAGCTGTTGTTCTGTGAGCCGCTGATCACACAAGCTGTTAACTCTCAGAAACTTGTCCTGTGATTCAGTTGTGGCTTTTGGTCTGACAGACCTCTTCCTGTCACAGTTTCTGAGGCCTTTTGATGTTGAAGGAAACTGTGCTCACTGACACCTCGACCTTCTTTCCAATTTCTCTGTAGGAATAACATTTTTAAGTGCTTGATGGTCTGTCTCGCTTCCATTGTTAATTCCCCTATTCGCGCCATTCAATACCTTTCAGGTGATGCTCACAAGTGTATGTGACCACACTGCTTTTATGCAGACAGAGGGGGTTGTAAGTGTAAATCTCCACGGCAGACCATGCTCTGTTGCATCTTTATTCAACCACTTTCCCCACACACTGTTGCTGTACACTCACACTGGGCTGCAGCTCTGCGGCTGCCAGCCTCACACCTCAACAGGACCCTACACCACTCTGAAGCTGGCGAGGTGTGATTGTGATGCTGCGCAGGTGCATTCGCCTTCCCTGCTGTGGCGCCACCACCCACGCCCCGCCACAGTAAGTAATCCAGAGAAGTTGGAACACCTGTAGGAATTAGTAGCACCAGCTTGATCAACCTCCACTGCTGCAGAACAGCTTTAAATTGTTAACCCATATTGTGTTCTCTGAAAAAGGCCTTTTTTTTTTTTAACTTCTGGCAGTTCACCATTTACCTTTGTACCATTTCAAGCTTTTCATTGGACTTGAATTGCAATAAATAACTGGAAAAATTGGGGTGCTGTAAGACTTTTGACCGGTCGTGTAAATTGTCAAGTTCCTCATTTGAAATGTGAGTCACTGGTCACTAATGTGCATCTTATTTCTTCCTGCAGCCAAATACATCAAATGTGAACAATGTGGTAACCCAAAGGTAAGCAGAATTCAAACACTGACCTTCAAGTTTGGACAACAGATTAAAAGATGAGATATTAGATTCAATTGTCAGTTGCTCGAGCACATTTTCATAAAGTTTAGACATGACATTTAGCTAGAAATTCTTTGTTTTGTTCCATTCGCACCGCTTTTGAGATTAAGCGACGGTTTTGCTTTTATTTGATCGTTAGCCTGAATCCTGTGAGCTTTTTCTTTCCTCTGCAGGGAAATAAGTGCGTCTTCAGCCTTTGTCGAGGCTGCTGTAAGAAGAAGGCTTACAAAGAAGTGGCAGACTGTCCAAGTAAGTGTATATGCACACACACACTCGTGCTGTGTGTTGATCCTGTGTAGTGGATATGATTTCTAAGCACACTGTCTGCTGATTTATTGACACAAAGACTCCCAGAGCTTATTACCGCCACATGTTAAGACATTAATGTGTTAGACTGGGTTACACAGTCCACAGCAATACAATACAGCAATTATCCAGCCTGTCGTTTGTCAATAATGTTTCGTATCACTGTGAATCCACAGTCTGGAAATAAAAGCTACCAAGCTACTCACTTTGTTATTGGATGAAAGAAATGAAAAAGATCGACTCATCTGTGATATAAATGTGTTTATTTCCTGTGTTTAACAGGCCACGGGCTGAGGTTCAAGACCAAGGCAGAGAAACGGAAAGCAGAGGAGAAGGAGCAGGCGGAGAGATCCACAACAGAGGTGGAGAGAAGCGACCGCTTTCCTCAGCCTCTGCAGGATTCAAGAAGGGAACTGGAGGAGCCTCGGCTGCTGCTATGAGCAGGACTGCAGCCATCTCTGCGTGCACGAGCCACACACTCACTGGAGGGTGGAAGCAGTGCATGCAGTAGTCGGTGCATACTGTGTACACAGCTGCTAAGTAGTCTGTTTGGGACTGATGGTGAAGTGTCATCAATCAACAGACCAAAAAATAAAAGCTTATTTTTATGTAAAAGGGATTTCTAGGTGAATAAGCAGTCGGGGCGGGGGACTGGACTTCTGAAAATGCAGTGGTTCAAATATAATTTATTTATTTTTTACATTTTTTTAAGGACAGATATTCTAAAGACATTATTTTGCCCAAAGTTGTTGGTGAGTCTTCACAGGGAAAGACTTAGTAACTTGTTGGTAGCAGATGTGTTATACACACATGTAGATGCTGCATTGCTCAACTGCTGTTCACTGGAACACTGTGCCAACATATACATACATATATAGCTCAGGGAGAGCACGGTCTCCTTTTGCTTATTGCTCTGTGGAGGCAGAACACAGTTTCTAAGTACTTGAACTGTGAAAGGATCCTGAAGCAGTTTGGATTGTTCAAATGCTGCAACTGTACTTATGGTACAAGATGTTTAGTGTGCTTGATTTTGTTTGTACAACTCAAGCACGTTAATGTCTGTCACGTTAATGCTTTGAAGCATTCTGATAAGTTAGCTAACCCATCATAGGGACTGATAAGTGTCATTTTCAGGCTCATATGCATTACTTTGATTAAAACGTTCATCTTCTTGTTCAAACATGACAGAATCCATTTTAATTCAGTCAGAAGTAAAATATAAAACCAGTTCTCACAAGTGGAACTTTACTTATTTCTTAGTTTGACATATATTTAAAATAAGTGGCGTTTCATACAGGAGCTGGTCAGAAGCCTTAGTATCGCCTGAGCAAGCTCTTCTGACACGACTGGATGCAGCATCTACCTGTCTATATGTGGTTTAATTAAAGTCATAAATGTGGTTACTTTCTTTATTTTGCATTATTAGCCCATAGTGCACTGTGTGCCTTTTGAATGAAATCACTGTCTGTCCAGAACTTAAGCATAAAGGACACAATTCAGCGCTCCCTCTGCTGCTGAGTAAAACATGCTCAGCCTGAAATTTAAAGGTGCTGCTTGTGTATACAGGGTAATACGGTACAATGGACATCAAAGAGGATGTGTGTTTTGTGGTAGTTAGCCCCACACTGTCAAAGGTTGGGGGCAACTGTATATTTGGCAACACAGATGAACAAATATATAGATTTTTATCTGTAATGGATGGAGCTATAATGAAATCACCCTCTGGTTTCTGGACTCTGAACACATTTTAATTCTTCCTATTGTAATTTTTAAAAAATCCTTTTGGGTGGAAGAGTTAAGTTGTGAACTAGCTCTGCTTAGTTTGGTTAGCAAGCGTCATCCACATGCATATGGCTCTCACACAAACTTGCTAATTAGGGACAAAGTAAAGGAGTCATAAATTGCACTCGCCAGCCTTTAGCACAAACTTCTTGGACTAATGCAATTTAAAAATGCTTCAAAAGGTGCAAAACTCAAAAAAATTGGTAAATCCAGGTAACTCGGATTAACAGGACTCCTGTTCAACATTGTGGTAAAGTCCCTAATGTTAAGTCTTACAGGTGTTCAGATTCATTCAGAGAAAAAATATATTGAAACTACAACAAAGGTCCAAACCATTTTTACAGCAGACAGTAAATGCACTTTTAATATTGTAAAGCATTTTAGCAAAGTGTTTGGTGACTGACAGCCTCAAGTGGCGAATCCAGGAACTGCAGTTTTTGCTTCATGTTTTCAGGTTGCCGTTTGGGTGGCATTGACGTTTTTGGCTGTATCCCAATTCAGTGTCTGCAGCCTTAAAGTACGCAGCCTCAAGGGCCGCGTACTCAAAGACCGCTAAGGCCGG